GTTTTCAGGGACAGCAGTAGTTCTGTGGGATCCGAGCGGCTCGACCGAGTCTCAGGTGTGCTCCGCTGATGGAGCTCGCGCTTCAGACGCCTGGCAGCAGGTGAGCTCACTCACACACAGCAGCCTTATTAAACACAGAGCAGAAGTCTAGTTACTTTAGTGCTGGTGAGCCCGAGTCAAACCCGTCACGAGCATCCGGGTCACGTTACAAACAGACGCAAGACGCGTTTGCTTCAAAAAGCTTATGTTTTAGGACCAATATTTGGCATTAGAAATATTTTTGCATTGTGACATTAATGAAAAATGTTTTTTTGTTGTAATGCAAACAAATAAATTGATTGCTAAATGTTAATATAAATGTATTATTGGTGATAAATTAATTATTTAATGTATTTACAATTTAGGTTTGTTATACTGAATTTAATTTCCTAACATAGAAAATCATTGTCTCCAGACAGACTGAGTGAGAGTTTTTTTTTTACTGGAATGAGAATTTGAGATCCTGAAAATAATCTCACAATGCAAAAAGTGGCTTCATTTTCTCCAGTTTTAATGCATGCCATATATACTGAATGTAAACATCTCTATATGTGCAGTTTTATTTCAGTTTTTAATATAAATGTATATATATATAGTGCACATAAAAATCTAGCATGGTATGAAATCTATATGTGTGTGTCAAGTCAAGTCAAGTCACCTTTATTTATATAGCGCTTTTAACAATACAGATTGTGTCAAAGCAACTGAACAGCATTAATTAGGAAAATAGTGTCAATAATGCAAAATGACAATAGTAAACACTAATTTTCCAGTTAAAGACAGTTCATCATTGAATTCAGTGATGTCATCATCCAGCTCAGTTCAGTTTAAATAGTATCTTTGCAATCATTTGCAATCAAGTCAACGATATCGCTGGAAATGAAGTGTCCCCAACTAAGCAAGCCAGAGGAACCAAAACTCCATCGGTGACAGAATGGAGAAAAAACCCTGGGAGAAACCAGGCTCAGTCAGGGGCAGTTCTCCTCTGGCTAGACCAAACCAGCAGTTCAGTTCCAGGCTGCAGCAAAGTCACATTGTGCAGAGGACTCAACTGGTTCCTGTGGTCTTGTCCCGGTGGTCGTCTATTTAGTTTAATATTTCATTTAGTTTCATTTAGTTAAAAAAATAAAAACAAATCAAATGAAAATGGAAAATAAAAACTATTTTAAAAATGAATAAAAACTATAATAGTGTCTCAATGATACTAAAATAACACTGACTGTAATAAATGGAGGGCTCATTAATATATTACGTTTTATTAAATGATGCATTTAAAAAAGATTTTTAAGCAATAAAATATGTAGTCTATACAGCTAATATAACATAGCAGTCTCTTAAGAAAATGCCATTTTTATTATATAAATCTTTTGGTTTTACAATACCAAAACATAGAGGTAATATTTCAAACACAAAATGTAAAATATCAAAACCTATTTACATTCATGCATTTGGCAGATGCTTTTATCCAAACTTGACTTGCACTGCATTCAAGGTTTATATATAATAATCCCTTCATACATTCACTACAAAACTACGTTTATAGTTTATTTTTACTGTATTTTCTGTCAAATGCACATTCAGTCGTTTGTCAGTATTATTTTATTATCTCTGAAATAATGTTATATTAAAAAATATATTTTAAATTAAATTTAAACATTTTTAATTGTTAAAATGTGATTTTGTTGTTTTTCATTGTTTTTTTTATTTGTTTTTTTATGGTTTTAGTTAACCACAGTGCAGCTTGAATGCTGTGACCTGTTAATATGTGTGCAAAAATCATTATATGCTTATTATAATCACTTATATTACTAGTGCTCAAAGGATAGATCATGCCAGCAATGCCAAGGTCATGGGTTTGATTCGCATGGAATGCATGAACTTTGCATGAATATTTGTGCATCCAATGGAATGCAAGTCACTTTGGATAAAAGCATCTGCTAAATGCATGAATATGAATGAATGTTGGGGTCAGAAATACATGTACATGCAGGGAAAGTTTGACATTCATTCACATAATGCTGCTGTTGTAATAATAACAAATGAGTGTTAATGAGTGAATCTAATCCTGAGCAGTGGTTTTCTCGTCGCATCTGCGATGGTCTTTTAAAGGCATGAAGTTTAAAGCCTCTTGAGCACTTTTAAAGATGCTTAACGTGCTGCAGTAAACAGACAGATGAACGTTACAGTCATTTGAAGAGCAGATTAGACTGGACTTGTGCATTACATATGCTCTGAGCACACACACAGATCTCATGTCTGCTCATTCACACACACACACACACACACACACACA